AGTGTTCAATACTTTTTCCCTGTGCCATTCCACATTATTACAAATAACTTCATTTCTGGACATTTATGGTTTGATTTCTTTGTATGTATGTATCACTTGGGTTTTTTCCGAAATCTGGAGAAAATTTCATGTCATTAGCACCTCTAGTAATATATTTACTGAGAAAAATGTTGATGTGTTCAATACTTATTTTACCTAATTTATACAGTAAGTCATTAGTAAAACACAGCACCTTTCAGCACTATATAGTGCTCTTCAACCCTTTTTAGCTAACACCTCTAAAGGAAATCCAATAATTGATTCACGTGAAAATGATTAGTAGATGATAGCGACACATTTTTAAGAGTCTGTTTTCTCCACTTCATTGTTTGGTCCAGAAAAGGACGTTGACCATTTAATTAAATGGCACACCCCCTCCACTGTGAACACATTGAGGAGGATCATTTTTGCTTTGAGTTGTTTTGCAGCTCGCAACTCTTGACCATTTCATCATTTGGGAAAATGATGAAGAAATATAGTCCATCAAATTCTGTGAGCAAAATTCAGAAGATGACTTTTTAACATTTCTTGGATTAACAGAAAAAAAAGTTCCTGAAGTCGCAACAAATTTCAACAGACACCATTGGCCCACCATCGTCAACTTCATGCCTTTGGGAGATCAGGTTGCCTCTCACTCACTTGACTTTGAGGAGTGAGTGAAACTTTGACCATTGCGCTCACATTTCCACATTCACCTGTAATTTCATAGTGAAATGCATTATTGATACGTGAGAAATCCACCCACTTGGAGCACTGTACTACAAAAACAGGAAGGGGAAACTCTGCAGTCGTCGTTAGCATTGCAAAATAAATGCACTCAACCGTTGAACATTATAATGAATTCTTTATGTGTTCCTTGGTGAAACATTATATCCTGCCTATCAAACGTCTGACACACACACACAAACACAAAGTATAGAGTGGATGCCAAGATATAAACTTACCTTTGGCTTTGTTAATGGTAAATATGTGCTGAAAGGTACAAGGTCTGGCTTTCTCCTGGGGTGCAGCTGCTTGCCTCGTGCCCCTTTTGGCAGCACTAACCCAGGACCTGGCAGTAACACCAGCACCATCTGCACCTGAAACTGCAATATGCACAACAGGAGAGGGGTGGGGGTGTATGGATTAGTGCTTTAGCCATTTCACATGCTTACTGTCTTATGTGCCCTGTGTCATGTTAAGTGTGTGATCCAGGCTTTCTTTTCTCTGCAGAGGAATTTTCAGCAATCTTCCCCTCAGGGGTTCAACATAAAATAATTATAAAAAAATACTATTGAATCAACAGAGTTCTGCTATCAAGGAATGAATTCTATCATATCAGCAGTGAGTGTAAACTGCTGGTGGAGTGCTGGCAGTGTATATCACATGCTCATTTACATAGCAGAGCAGAGCAGCCTTCAGCTACAGTTGTACACCTGTAAATGCATGAAAAAATTGCTCTGTGCTCAAGTTGTGCCTTTTTTTATTGCTGACATTTTTCTTTTTTTTATCTGTGTCCACTGTTCTGTTCTGCACCAGCAGTTTGGAAGGCTCACTGTGTAATTTGCTTTGCCACAGCACAATAATCCCCTCATTATGAAAACTTTTTACTCACTGAGTCATCCGACTCAAGAAGCACTTCCCAGCAACGGCAACCAAGAGTCACTATGAGTCAACACCTACGCAAAGGGAGCTGCGGAGTGTTTGCACACGCGTGTTTTGTGCATTTAAATATCATTGTCGGCGGTGGTATTTGGTACAAAGCACTGTTGGCTGATTTGTTTTGCTTTTACTTGTTTTAGCATCGGAAGCAAATCGGGATCAAAACGTAGGTTTTCATGCTGAATGGAGCTACGGCAGCTGCTTTGTAAGAGAAAAAAAAGCAAATGCATTAGCTGAGGAGAAAACTCTAAGTACATAGAACTAAAGTTGGACATAGAAACTTTTGTTTTCTTACAATAAATATGAGTTTAAAAAGTATAATTGCAAATTTTACTTCTCAACAAAAATACTTTTTTGCTCCATATATTCCTAACACAGAATGTCTCTTTTGAACAGCAGGTTTATTTGTGGTTCCTGGAATTTTTAAAAGTAGAATGCAAGAAAGGTTCCACATTTTTTTGTTAAGCTGACACCCAGTCTACTTTTAAGACTAGGCTTAAGACAGATATTTTGATAAATCCAATAATCACAGTCGGTATGGGTTTCTTGAACTATTCCTTAGTAATGCAGCTATAGGTATAGACTGCTGAAGAATAAATGGACCATTGTTTCCTCACTCTCATGCTGTCATTACTTCTCATGTTTGTATGCAATTATTGATATCATTAACCTTCTGTTTCCTTTGTGTTTCCGCAGAAACTACACCTGGATCAATTTACTGCTGCATCTCTTTCCTATTCTCTCATCCTCCAGTCGGGTCAATGCAGATATCCTGATTCTGGTTCTACCAGTTTTTCTTTCTGTTAAAAAAAATGAGTCACTTGTTTTTACTCTTGCCAATGGGATTGTTCATAATGGGTGGATGTTTCTTTAAATTATCCAATTTCTATCCAGTTTTGGTTGGTTCCTGACCTGTTTACGATGGTTTTTAATTTAATTTAAATTATTTATTTATTTTTGCTTCAACACATCTGATTTGAATGAATAGCTCACTAACACGCTTTTAAAGAACTTTATGATATGTTAAAATGGAAATTTAATTGTTGAATTAGATCTTGAACCAGGATTGGGTCCAACTTTAGACATTTTTTATTTTATTTCATTATTTTTACTAACTGGCATTTCATAACATTCTGCATGTGAATGTATTGTACTATAATTAGAGTTTACTGTAATTAAAATAAAGTCTGAATCTGTTTTTGATTAAATTTATATTTGTGTTGGACTTCTATTTTGCTTCGTGTCCTGGGAATTGCATGTGTTACTACAATAAAATAGAACAATATAGAGGAAAACCTATGAGACCTACACAATACAATGTAAAGAGTGTGATGTTGATGATAACCAAATTAATTACACTGACAGAGATGTGTATTTATGCTGTAAGCATGGCTGTTAGACACACAGCAGAATTATTACCTGTAGGTGGCAAAGGCTTGTTGGCCTCCACTTTCTCACAGCTAACTGCTGGGGATCTGGGTTGGCCGACCAGGCCAAATGTTTCAAGGTTCAGCACTGATTTCTGCTCTCCTGAACAGATGGATGAGACCTCACGGGGCACATTTTCCAATCTCCTCTCATGGGAAACCACACTGTCTTGGCAATGATTTGGCGAGAGGGTAAGGCCGCTTTCTGCCTTCGCAGCTTTGGTCTCGAAATTCCCGTGATGCAATCCACCCAAAGCTAAAGGCTTCTCCGGGGGCTGAAGAGTGGGGAAGTCAGTCAATAGGTCATAAGCCGACTGGCATTCGGGCGATGTGTCAGTTTTGGAGTTTGCCTGAAGCGCTTTGTCTTGGACAGGAGCCTGCACAGGGGCAATCGTGTTTCTTGCCAAAGTGGTAGTGGGGGTATTGTGTGGGCAGAATGAAAGGGGAGTCTCCCACTGGCCGTGCACTTTCCACAAGGCTGACGGCTCGGTGGGACGGAGTGGAATGCCAGCCTTGTCGGTGGGTAGTTGAGGAAAATCTGTCTCGATGAACGATGGGAAATCCTGCTCGCTGTCAGAGCCCAAATAATCAGAGTGGTGTGGAATTTCATTTCCCTCCACCTCATTTATGTCACTCACTGACTCGGTGCTGCTGCTATCAGTGGCACACCTTCTCACCCCAGGTAGAGTGACAAAATCATCATCATTACTCGTATTACTGTCAGAGAGACTTTTTGTATCGAGCTCATCTTCACTTAGACATACATCCTTGTTTAGTTGAGGCTGAAAATGTGAGTCGAGTTTTTCTGTGCTTTGGTTTCCTCACTTAATTTGAGGGATGCACATTTTATTGGGGGGATTTTCGACAATCTTGACATTATCTCCTGCATCATTCTCCTAGCACAACAAAGACAATGACATGATAATGATCACAGCTTAACATTTCTGATATGACGAAGAATTAAAATAGATTAAAGCGAGACACAAAACTGTTGGCGCTCACCAGCTTGATTTTTATCTCCGGTTGCATCGCAGGGCTCAGTATCTGTGTTGGTTTTTCAACAAGAGGCTTGCAGCCTGAAGGATGAGGCCTGGGAAGACTGAAGTCAGTGTGGGGTTGCTTCTTGTCCTTGCTCAGAACAAAATCATCCATTTTTTTCTGCCGCTCCTTGGCTCTGGACAAAACACAAACATGGTTTTAAACAGTGTTTGAAACAGTTTGTGGCTTTTGTGGAACAAATCAAAACTCACATTTCAGTTGCCAAACTTTCCCAAATCTATTAAAAAAATCACTTTTTTTATTTTTGTCTTTCAGATGTGACATTTGTTTGGCACTCCCAATTAGGTGATAAATGATTGTGTCATGGATAGTATAAAAGTCTAACAGTGTTTGCAAAGTAAGCGTTATAAATTCAAACACTGCTGCAAAACTTACAGTAACTCGAGGTCTACAAATACAGTTCTCAAATTGTTTAGTTAAATATCTTCATTACTTGACAAATACAAATTAAATGTCATTTATTTTAAGATTTTATGCAAATAAAAAAACTCATTCAAGTAGATGCAAGAAGAAACATCAAAACATCTTTTGTTGCACAGGGGCAGAGCCAGAGGGGTGGCTGGGGTGGCAAGTGCCCCCTGGCACCTGATTGGCCACCCCAGGTGCCACCTTTAGGTTGGGTATTGAAAGGGTTTAATTCGATATCAGTCCTAAATCAATACTTTCAAAATGGTACCGGTTCCTAAATGGTATTTAAATTGGTACTTTAAAAATAAATAAATAAAACACACACACTCACACAGAGGTTTATGAAGCAATGACTATTTCTGAGACAAAGTCAAACTTGAAATTGACAAAACCATTAATAGTTTGTCTTTGCACCAAATATTCTTAAAGCATTTGTTGTAGGTGGAAGTTTCTGCATTTTAATTTGTAAAGTGACACCACACTTTGGACCGTTTTGCTTTTGACGTCTCAACTATAATATATAACATATAACTGTTCACTGCAGTGGCACCTGTTTAGCCCCTCTCCATGAACTCGGTTCTACTCGATTCACTTTGGGTCAGGTCGGCTCTGCTCAGTGTCCATGTGTCTCCACGCAGTGTGTCCTTCACTCTGTGAGTGTGATAATGTGCGGACCATCTGCAGCGACTTCAACTCTTGTGTTAAAAAATAAATAAAAAATAATAAACTAAAAAAGATGTCTTACCGTTCGGACTTCACTTTTTATTTATTTATTATCACGGTGCTGTTTATATCTAAGGGCTTGTATAACCGTGGGCGGCCAATTTGTTTGAAGCATCTTCCTGTGATCCGCTAAGCTTTGTCTCCTTCACCTCTATCCATGAAGTGTTTACAAGTTCTCAAGATCACCAAAAAGGCAGTTTTATCACTTCTTTCACCAAGTCGTCATATCGCGCCGCACGCTTGTATTCCTAAACAAAAGCAGCTCTCTCCAGGAGGAAATTTGCTGTCAATCAATCCAAGAGTTAATCCATGGGCAGAATTCTGCTGACTCCAAAATCGTAAGTGTGCTGTACTCGCTTCTACCCGAACCAAAGGAGAGGATGTTCTGAGACAGTGCAGCTGCGGAGTGCGCTTGGAGAGATGCATTGGGCCGAAACCAACCCGAGTCGAACCGCATACAAGAGTGTCCGTAGAGACTGTGTGCTGAGGATGTCACTGTTAACAGTGAACACCAGAGGGCGCAGTTTAACAGCTTTCCTTGAGGCACCGAAATAAGGCACAAAAATGTTGTGTTTCGGTCTATTTACCTCCGTTGATGTTTGCCCCAGTGCCATACCGGAACCGAGTTTCGGTACCCAACCCTAGTGCCACCCCTAAATGATTGACAAGTGGGTGGAAATCACATGTGGCATTTCAAAGATGGACAGTTACAGCAAAGAATAAGTAAATGTATGTTTTTCTGTATGTGCCCCCCTAAAAACACAGTGGCCACTCCTGTCCCACCCTTGCGAAACAGTCTAGCTCTGCCCCTGCTGTTGCATGTGTGATGTCAATGCTTCAATTGCTAAAGGAGTAGTAAAAATAAAACACATTTTGCATTTATTAATGTTATTTTATTGTAGTGATGCATTACCCAGAAAAAAATATATATAAATATCCAGGGTGTGAATCCATAAATGGTCAAGTTCTACTACAGTGTAGCTTTTTATGTTTGTATCATTTGTTTAATGAGGTCAGCAAATTGCTCGCAGTCTTCCTAAACTTGATTATTTCAACATTCCAATTAAATGATGCAAAACAAACCCCCTGTTTTCAGTTCAACAGATTTATAATTTAACTGGCTGACCTGCTGCCTGAAATCTGAGTGGAAGGATGGATAAAATTAGCGTGGTTCTTCATTTTATCTTCATCATGCTTTCTGCTCAGGCTCAAATTAATTGCCTCTTTCTGCTCCTCCTCATTCCTGGACAGACATAAAAAAAGAAAACACACAAATTTAATGAGGGTGTGTTGAGGGTGGTCTTGTTATAATTAAGGTAATGCTTTTGTAATTATTTCAAAAACAGCACACTTTAGTGTCAGGGGTTGTTTCTGTTATTTGTCTATTTTTTATTGTTTGTATAAAAAAATCACATTTGTGTTTCAAGTTTTACAAACCAATCAGCTCATAAATAACCAATAAATGGACTCTGAGTTCAAAATAAAATACATTTTGGCACATGTTCTACTCATTGTCTGTATGAGGACTTAAAAACATTGTGTTTATGTCTTAAATGTGCCACTAGTGCTTCTTGTATGTGGCTTTATTTATCTGTTTTGAAAAATCCAGAGTTCATTTTCAATTTCTGAATCCAGTTTGAGGCATGGCATACCTTGGACAATCTGTCATAAAGCCAACACAAAGGCACTGGAAAAAAAAATCTATTTGCTTTCACACTAACTAACTCAGAGTCAATTTGGATTTTTCCAAATACACCAACATGTATGTTTTATGATTATTGGTAAAAGCAAAACAAAACAATGCAAAGCCGTGGAAAAATCTGGACATAGAAACACACAAAGAGCCTGTAAACATAACACCTAAGGCCTTCTGGATGTGGTGTGACAGGTGTGTGACTACATCAGGAGTTATGTATGAAAACCTTCCCAATAACTCTGTTTAAACATGCATGATCATATTACTTTTTTTGATTTTTGAATTTTATAATTTTTTTGCAATAATTTTGGTGAAAAATGTCGATTAGCAGTGGCACAATGGCTCAGTTGGTAGAGTTGATGCCTCTTAGCAAGAAGGTCGCCGGATCAAACCTTGGCCCGGGGACCTTTCTGGGCATAGTTTTTATGTTCTCTCCGTGCATGCGTGGGTTTTCTCCGGTATACCAACTTCTTCCCAAAAACATGACTTTTAGGTTAAACTGGTAACTGTAAAATGTCCCTAGGTGTGAGTGAAAGAATGAATGATTATCTGTCTTATTTGTCTTTATGTGTCCCTGTGATGGACTTGCGACCTGTCCTGGGTGTACCCCGCCCCTCTCACAGTGATTGCTGGATATGGGCACCAATGACCCCCCATGACCCTGAAAGCAAGAAGCGGCTATAGATAATAGATGGATGGATTTTCAGCAATTTGCATGTAAATTGTCTGGAAATTATTTGGGGACCCTCACTTAATGTTTCATGACCTACAGAGGGGTCGCAACCCAAACTTTGGGAGCCACTATACTGCACCACCATACAGCCAAAATCTAAAGTAGTAACATTACTAAGTGCTACTAATAATTATAATAATAATTTAGAAGCATTAAATTAGCTTTTGCACATCATGCAAAGCTAAAAGCACTAGTACACATTTTACCATCAGATGTACCGGTATGTACTGTATGTATGTGTATGTACATCAATGAAGGTGTGTTCCCACTTACTGCTGAGATTTTTCTGTCCAGTGACCAGTTGCATTGCTTCTTTTCTATTTTACAAAAACCTACATTTAAATGATATTTTTTACTCATTTGCTCCAGAATCTTACAGTAATCACTGAATTTTCTCAATATAGTTTAGCATCATTTGCTCAATAAATAGCAAGATGCACGCAATTTGCCTAAATCATTTAGACCTTTTTAAAGTTTCCCCACAGTTCTTTACAAATTTACCTCGTTGACCTGTAACCTGAGAGTGAAAGGCGGATAAGAGATAAGTTAGGTTATCTCTTGTCCTCATAGATCTTTTTGGACCTAAATAACCCATCTCTCTCACATCAGCTCTGGGCAGAAATAATGAAATCCGACTTAAGTGCGAGTTTGGTGAGAGTGATACACACACACACACATCGTCTCGCACAGAAGAAAAATAAAAATCGATTCCAGTGCACTGAAATTTCTGCAGCTCTACATTCACTGTTGGTGTCAAACGTTTAGCCTCACAAAACAATCAATCTAAAAGTCCATTGTTCACTTTTCAAAACAAGCTTAAGTTGAGAATTGTCACGTCTCCACAAGATTTCATTCAAGTGCGCCAAGACAAAAGTGATTTGGATTGTAGATGGAAGTGGCCTGACCTGTGGTTCGGGCGATAAGGGAGACGAAGTGTGAAGTCAGTGTTGTGCCTCTTGTCCTGCTCGTTCGAACCAGAATCCTTTGTTTTCCTCTGCTGCTCCTCAGGTCTACTGTATACAATGAATCAAACACACAAATGAGTGAGAGCGCTGCAGAGCAACACATTACTGTAAGACAATATAACTGCAATTGCTGCTGCTTTAACTTGTACGCATCTTTTTTGTTTACCTTTTTTTTGATTGATTGAGGTGTTAAAATTTGACAGGATTCCAAATGGTCAGGGTCTTTTTAGAGAGTTTCTTTTGCTTGAAATTTTAATTTAAATGGAGCATGAGTGTGTTTAAAGTGGTTTCACTCTGACACTGTAATAATATTACTTCCTAGTAAAATAAGTGAGCTCCATTTTTGATTTTTGTTTTTTTATACAGCTGACGTCACAATTCATCTTTGTCATACTCAATGTCACAATTTCTTTTTATGATTATTTTGATGGGCTCAACAACATTTTACTTAAAAGTAGAGACATTTTAAATTAAATTAATTTACATATGAAGAGAAAAAAAACTGTGATGGACTAGAGATCAAACCAGGGTGTACCCCACATCTTAGTTATTGACATTTTACCTGTTTGAACCTGACAGGGATGAAGACGGAGAAGAAAATGAATTGGTGAAAAGATGAAAGGATGAAATGATTCCCCATTTTTATTGAGGCTACATTTTAGGCAGCAGTCTGTATACTGTCAAGCTGTGATGCAGAACAAACAGTCCAGTGAGACCAGAGCACTTCTGATGATGGAGCCATCGTGGAAACGGCAGGTGGCCAGTGAGCAGATGGTCTACATTAACATTCTGCAGTCCATCGATGAGAGCAGAGATGTTCAAATGATCTGTGGGACCTGAGTGAGGGGAGGACTCCAACATCCAGCTATGTTCTGATTTACCTGTTTATTTATCCATGCACTCATTCATTCTGTGCCCCATATTGATCAATTATCCATCATCCATCCATCCATCCATCCATCCATACAGACATCCATCCATCCATCTGTTCATTTATGTGTCCATCCATCCATCCATCTATCCATCCGTCCATCCATCAATCCATCCATCCATCTATCTATCTATCCATCCATCCAGCTATCCATCTGTTCATTTATCTGTCCATGCATCTGTTTATCCATCCATCCATCCATCCATCCATCCATCCATCCATCCATCCATCCATCCATCCATCTGTTAATTTATATGTCCATCCATTTTTATCCATCCATCCATCCATCCATTCATCCATCCATCCATCCATCCATCCATCCATCCATCCAGCCAGCCAGCCAGCCAGCCAGGTATCCATCCGTCCATCCATCCATCCATCCATCCATCCATCCATCCATCCATCTGTTCATTTATATGTCCATCCAT